TGTGTCTTCAGTCTGGTTATGCCTGCCTGGCTGTGTCTTCAGTCTGGTTATGCCTGCCTGGACGTGTCTTCAGTCTGGTTATGCCTGCCTAGCTGTGTCTTCAGTCGTGCTTTACCAGAGGTGATGATTACTTAGATGCTCTCGACCACCCCAACAATTAGCGAATTCTCCTACCACTACGTATTTATTTAATCTTAAACAAACCACTGTGTACAAAATACAATTTCGAAATACAACATAAGAGTCACTACCAACGGCTGTGAAAGATACGCTCAAGATCATACTTCATTTATACTTTCAAACTCGATACTCAAACCTTACTTTCATCTCAGAGGGGAAAAAATCGCCTTAGGTTAGTATTAATGACAACTATTTCAGTATTGATTTATTTGGGTTTTATGCTCTGTTCTTCAATTTAATGCTTTTTACTTTCATTATTGACCTTGATAATTGTTGCTTCCGGAACTGAGCATTTTTGCTGCCAAATTAATGTTTCGTGCACGGCTGAACAAGCCAGGAGGAGCCAAGAGCCACTCCAGCATATAAATCCACAGACGTTTCTAGATTTTGTTGCGATTATAAGCATCACAACACGAGAGAACCATTTATTGAAATTTTATAATGCTATGTTATTTATTTCAGTCTTCCAGTATTGCTTGATTCTTTGGTTCACAGAAGATCATCATCATGTAAGTACGAAACACTTTTTTTCCTCTCTTCATTCCTTGTTCTTTCAGTATTTCATTCTCCGCGGAGGATAGTCTAATGAGATACCCATTAGTCAGAACAGTTTTTGCACGGTACGACATGCTATTTCTTTTAGTTTATAAATAGTTTTTAACAGTTAGATTTTTTTTTTTTTTTTTTTGTATCGATGAATGCTTTTCCAGATTTTTTCAACATAATTTCTTTTTTCATAGTATTTTTGATTTGGTTTACCTTCCACGTATACATTATAGAGACCTTTAGCACGAAGTTCTTGCTAGCCCCACAAACCTCAAACTGCAGTTCGAAGTCAGGCGTTTTCCTTCAAACTTTCGACATTTATCAAGGCGTCATAACGAAGTTGTCTTTGGAAGAGTGGCCATATTAAATTTTATCGATGCCGAGTGTTTCTCCGTGTTTGCGGGCGTTGGTAGGGACCTGATTCCTAGCGGTTACAGTTTAGCGGTTAGCGGTAAACACGATGCTAAGGGTCTCTAAAATCCTAAGGTGAACTCCTTTCTTCTACAGTGAATAACCATTGGAACACTGACCAACCAAACCCGGGTTTTACCTACCAAACTTACCTATCAAACTCTTGCAAAACCGACCAAACCGTTGGTACACCGACCAAACTCGTGGCATAAATGTGAGTACTTTTGCCTTGCTATCTTTAATTTTATAAACCTCATATTTCTTCATAATTGAAAGTGGATCCAACGAAAACCATTAAAAAAATCTTTATAAAAACTAAAAGTTATATCCAATATTCAAGTATTCGATAAACAGTGAGAAACAAAATGCCGGATTCCATTTTTCTCTACTGACTTAATAATGTAGTCATACTAGTATACTGTCCTATGCACTAGCTTATTATCATTATCTGTTATAATTATCATTACTGATAGTAATGGTCTTTGTAAGGTTTTGATAAGATCCTGTGATCAGTATAATGTGCTATGCTATACTATACTATACTCCCCAGCACTCATATTCGCCGTTGGTAGGCTCGCTGTCAGAGGTGGTATCTTTACAACTGGCCCCTATAATCTAATACAAATACGCCCATGGTCACAGTAGGACACACTATTATAGGGATTCGTTTGGTTTTCAGTTGCACCTCTGTGCTGATCTAAATATCTAATGACGGGTGAAGAGATGAAACCTCGTTTCGCTGATACAAATACGCCCATGGTCACAGTAGGACACACTATTATAGGGATTCGTGTCGTTCTCAGTTGCACCTCTGTGCTGATCTAAATATCTAATGACGGGTGAAGAGATGGAACCTCGTTTCATCTGACCAACAAACAAGGATCAAAGTACAACCCAAAGATTGACTATCGACCCCTTGCTAGGTTGCTTGCAGACCGAATTTAACTCTCTTTAACGAGAGCTAAATTAGGTCTACACACAGGCTACCCCTTGCAGGATATTGCCAATGCACCTCAATTCAAAGAATAAAATTTTACGATTGCTTTGTCCTCTGAATTGAGCGGCTGTGGGAAGATGTCTATATCACACACATAAAATAATAGATTAGCGTAGCCGTTGATCGTGTGGGTCCTAATGACGCACGAAGAATGACTTCAATGAACTGTTCTGACATCGGCCGCGGGTAACCAAACTAAATTCATCAAATCTCCATCCTTGAAGTGAAATCATTGCTTCGTGGTCAGAAAGATGTATCATCTTGCGCGCGCAGTTTTGATTCGATACTCGATACCAGTTTTTGCAACTCCCATTATTTAACAGATCAAAAGCAGTTTTCCGTGTTTGATACTCTGATCAAAACACGCAGGATATTGAGAGAACACGAGAGGAGCGTAGGAAACCACGACGCATAGTATAGAGTATCAAACACGAAAAAAATTTTTTTGATCTGTTTTATAAAGTAACAAACACACCAAAAAACGAAAACAATATCGTATTATTCTATGGCGCGCGGAATGGTTCAAAATTGTCATTTCGATGTAGTTGAATATTTGTTTGTCAATTGCGTTACTTCGCTTGAATGTGTACACTTATCAGTGCATTACATTACACAAGCACGTTCTATATGGTTTTTTTGTTGTCAATCAATGCTTATAAAAATAGTCAATCACCAAAACTCGGTCAATTCAGCAAAAAACTCTGTCGATTACAAAAACTCGGTCAATTCCAAAAACTCTGTCAATTACAAAACTCGGTCAATTCAGCAAAAAACTCGGTCAATTACAAAAACTCTGTCGATTACAAAAACTCGGTCAATTACAAAAACTCTGTCGATTACAAAACTCGGTCAATTCAGCAAAAAACTCGGTCAATTACAAAAACTCGGTCAATTCAGCAAAAAACTCGGTCAATTACGTAACAATAAGCACGTGTCATATGTCTTTTGTCAATCATCACGCGTAAAACTCTGTCGATTCAGCAAAAAA